AAAATAGCTTTGCCCGATTTTGAAACATGACACAAACATTGATTCAAAACGATCTGAGCCGAAGAATACGCCTAAAACTACATTTCCAACTCATATACAATCATTTTTCAATAAGAACTTGAGACCCCACTAGATAGTAAAAATGATACAAGAGCCTAAAGTAAAATTTCCCACAATTATATTAATAGGCTTCTTGTTGCCTATAAAGTAAGCTCAGCTTTGTCTCAAATAATAATTTTCCGTCTAGGATGGATCGCAGTTTCAACCAAGTATATAGTGCCAACACCCCTCAAAGATGAGAAACAAGTAACAACACAATCCAAGACAGCTTCAAGCGCCATTTAGTCATAGAGTAGGTGAACTTCAGGTAAGCCTGCTTCTTTCAATTGACATCGATAGAGCAATTATCAGTGAGGCAAACTCCAATTAGCCATTACAATAAGTCACATTCAAAGAATAGGTTCCGGAAGTATCACATCTTAGACAAAAGCTTCAGGTAAAACCATCCGAGTTTTCCAAAGACAATTAAGTGTCGAGAAGACAATTCTTAGAATAACTTAACGGACCATATGAATATTTAAGAATAAGGAAAGGATCAATTTGGTTTGAGATGAAATATGCATAATGGCCAGCAATCTGGAAGAGTGGATGTAGTTCTAAAATGTCGAATGGTATATGAGTAAGATGCAGTATTAATTGGTGGAATAAATTCACCGGGCACTTTGAAGATATAAAATCAGTGATCATAATATAAGAACTATCAAACAAGAAACTCACCCTAAAAACGACCGAGTAAAAACTGACACAATGAAAGTGATTCATGTTGGATTATATAAAACGTATCTATGATCACGAATAATTTCTCTTTAAATTAAAATGAAAGATAAAACGATGGGTAAAAAAAATTAGGAAAAAAGTAAAATGACTTGAGTAAGAACCTACTTTACGTTTCTTTTCATCCAGGGCTCTTGTTTCTTTTAAATTGTTGATCTGCAATGGAATCATACCGGCAGCCTCTTCTGCTGCCTCAAGAGCAGCAGCTCTCTTCGAAGTGATGCCGACTGGCTTAGGCTTACCCGTCTTCTTTCCCTTGCTATTGGCAGAGGAGGAATGGCTGCCATTAGTCGCACCTGTACTCATGAAGCCTGTAGCAGAAGAGTCTTCAGTTTCCTCTGGGAAAAAATAAATCAAAAATAAATCGGTAGGTTATGATAAAGTTACAAGGAAGTAAGGATTTAGCATTCATCCAAAATAGTAATTAAAATGAAAGTAAATGGATTTGAAAGACTACATAAAGTAAGTGAAACCAACTTAAAATGTAGAAAAAGAATAAAATAGATTACTTTAGTAAAGACAAGGGAAATGCATAAATTTAGTAGACAGGAAGGCGATATCTCGCAACGAAAACAATATTATAATGTATATAGTAGGAATAAAGTAAGGATAATAAATATAAGGTATGAAGACAAAGATAGCGTGGGCTTTTG